CCCTAAAAGTTTACAAAAAACACCCAAAAGTATTATATATATAGCTACTATAGTTAAATGGGCAAATGAGTGGCCCGTTTATTAAATGGGTGGGCAAAAACCCCCCATTTAGTAAATATTAAATGGGTCATAAATGGGTAAATGAGCAAAATATGCATACCCATTTATGTATATATATATATAGCTACTATAGTTAAATGGGCAAATGAGTGGCCCGTTTATTAAATGGGTGGGCAAAAACCCCCCATTTAGTAAATATTAAATGGGTCATAAATGGGTAAATGAGCAAAATATGCATACCCATTTATGACCCGCCCATTTAATACCCAAACTCACCCATTTAAAACCCCTACATCATGACATAATTTCAAATTTCATACCAAATCGTTGGAATAGATTTCATATAAACTCTTCCAATTCATATAAACCAAGAAAAATAAGCATCACTTGGACTGATCCAACTATCTTCAGGCTGGTTAATGGCGGACTAGGTATGTATGACAAAGTATCTTGCACGTGTCGATTTAGATAATCGTTGATCTTGGATGGGGTTAGTGCAACATGGATAGCGTGTTTAATGTTAAAAATGGAGCTCTGCCATGTAGAGCTTTACAGTTAATCAAAGCATTTGATTTTATTTCTTTGAGTTTCATTTTTCATTAGATAAAGAAAAAAGAAGTGTTCATACAAACACCCTGCTTTCATGATCAACTCCACCTAGATTTTGCTGATTTTAGCACATATGTCTTATTAAAAGGAGCTTGTTATCATGCTACAATACCTTGCACAATCAGAAAAGAGGAGTTTATAGTTGCCGCGGTCGACAGCACGGACCTTGTAATCGATTTCTTCTCTGGAGTTGGATTCAGTCGATCGTGGTGGTCGACCGGCAATACCCTGTAGGAATTTAGTGTTTTGTCGATTGCTGGGCGGTCGACCGCGTCGGTTTTGGCGGTCGGACCGCTAGTCGGGCTTTGAGTTGGGCTTGGTTTTCTGACCCGTTTCGTTTACTGTTGGTATATAACCCTAAACCTGATTAATTAGGGTTAAGTAAGGACGATTTGAGCAGTCTTTGAGAGAGGATTGTTGCATCATTTCGGGAGGATTTGTGAGAGATCTAGAGAGCTTTGTTTGAGGGTTTTTGGTGAGATTTGAAAAACACTATTTGTAATTCTCTTTATCTCTAATAGTAAAAACTCCCCCTCCTTGCCCCGTGGACGTAGACAACTTGCCGAACCACGTAAATTGGTTTGTCTTGCTGTGATTGTGATTTGTCTTGCCCCGTGGACGTAGACAACTTGCCGAACCACGTAAATTGGTTTGTCTTGCTGTGATTGTGATTTGTGCTTGTGTTTTGGTTGTGTTGCTGTGATTGTGATTTGTGCTTGTGTTTTGGTTGTGATCTTTCTCGTTCTTGTTCGTGCACTATTTGACTTTCGAGTTCCGCTGCGCACAAGACTCTGAAAATTCGTGAATCTATGGCATCTTAATCTTTGCGGCATCTTGATCTTAGCCACCCATTTGGATAGCAGTCAACATGTTTTTCAATTGCCAATTATTTTTCTGGTTACTAGTTCAGATTTGTAAGTACTCGTCTTCGTTTCGTATCTTCAGCTTGAGGATGGGAAAACAAAAGCACAGAATGTTATTTACCATCTGATGCTTACAAACCTGAGGCTGTAACTTTAAGATTCATTTGCTATTACTTTAGATTATGAAAAGGATTTGTTTAGAATCTCGGTATGAATACTTTTTGCTTACATTTTATCCTTCTTTTTCTCTATGTGGTGGCAGATGTGAAGGATGTAAATTGTGTGATCAACTATGAGTTCCTGCCATGCTTCAAGGATTATGTTGAGAGAATTATGCGGACTAGACATACTGTTGCTAAAGGAACTTCCCTCTTCTTCGCTCTTTTATGTGTCGGGTATCCAAGGGGTCTTATCAAGATTCTTCAGGAAGCTAGACGAGAATGTAAGTTCTGCACTAGTGGTGAGGTAATATGTGAAGTTTCTCGTTCACTTGCACTTTATGTTACAGAATCACAGAGATGACAGACATCAATATTTAGATAGCTAGATACCCAAAATCTTAGAAAATCTACGGTACAGACATCATAATAGACACACGCACACGCACCCATGTGTGCACATGTATGTGCTTGCATGCGTCATGCATGCATGAAGAATTAAAATAGCACATGACATAATTTCAAATTTCATACCAAATCGTTGGAATAGATTTCATATAAACTCTTCCAATTCATATAAACCAAGAAAAATAAGCATCACTTGGACTGATCCAACTATCTTCAGGCTGGTTAATGGCGGACTAGGTATGTATGACAAAGTATCTTGCACGTGTCGATTTAGATAATCGTTGGTCTTGGATGGGGTTAGTGCAACATGGATAGCGTGTTTAATGTAAAAAAATGGAGCTTTGCCATGTAGAGCTTTACAATTAATCAAAGTATTTGATTTTATTTCTTTGAGTTTCATTTTTCATTAGATAAAGAAAAAAGATCAATTAGTAACGCTAAAGTATTCATACAAGCATATATCACCTTTCAATTGTGAAGATGTTGTCTATTTATGACTTTTAGGTGATTACAACAAGAGTTTTGCAATCTTGCTTGGTGGATAAACAACACGGCATATGGCAGCCTGGAAAATGAATGCATAATGCCTTCTGAGATCCTGAATTGTAAAAAGAAATTTGCGTAATTACAAAGATTTATATTAATATGCAATTTCAAGCTCCCGCAACTTCATGTTGATGGTCATGTGAAGTGAGACCTGATGGTTTCTGTTGACAGATGTTGCTTTTGTTAGGCATGTGCACCTCCTATCGTGTGTATTGTTGCTGCTGTCAACGGTAACATACTTTTTATTTTTCTGTGTGTGATGAAAGTGAAACACGTTCCACAAGAACTTATTACTTGCGGTCCAGTTAAAAATGAAATCCATGCAAATTACATTCTCACTCAGTGCGTAAACTCCTCACTAAACTTTCTCTATCACAAGACGTACACCATTCTTTGGCCCTAGCAGCAGCCTAAGCTCCACAGAGTGCCTATGTTTTCTTGAGGGCGAAACTTTAAACCTCATCAAAATCAAAGCCAACACAATCTTTAACTCAACCATAGCAAAATTCTGACCCAAGCAGGTTCTAGGGCCGAACCCAAATGGCATATACAAGTGTGGATGCTTGCAGGCGCTCGAGACTCCTTTTGCGAATCTTTCAGGTTTGAACTCATTAACGTCAGGTCCCCAAAGATTTGGGTCATGATGGAAATTGAGTATTGGGATCCACAGGGAAGTTTCTTTTGGGATTAGTAGATCCCCAAATTTCATGTCTGCGTAAATTTGTCTTGCGATAATGGCGCTTGCTGGGTAGAGGCGAAGAGTCTCTTGTATCACTTGTGTTAGCTACATGAGAAAGGATAGGAGATTGTCATTAGTCAGTCATATAGTTAGGGTTAAGTCAGGGGGTTAAGGAGAGTTAACCCCTCATTAACCTGCCAAATATAAAATAGTTGCACAGAGCAAAGAGTTAACCGTCTTAAGTTAAGACCGTTTTAGACTGGCTACAAATTGTTAATCCTTCAAAATGAGGGGTTTTATTGATCTATTTAGTTATACAAGGTATAAAATAACCCCTTTTGTAAAGAAAGTAACAATAATCAGATAAACAATTAAGAATTAATGTTTTGGCGTAAATTTCATGAAACCCCAAGAAGTTGGCTCATTTTGAAATCACCCGAACGCGATTGGTAATGCCAACAATCGCCAAAACATTTTCTGTGGGGGTTATCAGAAAACAGATTTAAAAAAAATGCAAAAATCATGCTGACCTTTTTTTTAATCAGACATACATACATGATAACTTACCAAGTTCATCTTCTTTAGTTTCTCCATGTCAGGCTTATGATCTCCACATACGTCCATGATCTCTTCCCGTACAAGAGTCTGCCACTGTGGATTAGAAGCGAGAAGAACCAAAGCCCATTTTGCTGCAGTTGCAGTGGTCTCTTGACCTGCAAAGTATATGTTCTTGCAGTTATCGACGATGAATGTTTTGTCTACACCTTCTCCTATGGAATTCTTCAGAATTGATTGCAAAAGGTCTTTCTCGCCATTTGCTCCTTTCTTTCGTTCTCTCACTATCTTTTGAATTAAAGAGCTAATTTCACTGCCCAGTCCCCAAACAACCCTGTTGTTCTTAGTGGGTAGATACCTGCATAAAAGTTTCTCTTAGGAGCTGTTTGGTTGATAGGAAATAGCGTTACGGTAGCAAATGCTGCGACCAAATTTCTAACTTCCAATTTTCGATTGACTATGGAAAATGATATCAGATTGTCAGTTTGTAGAAGAAAAACAACAATACTTGTTATGACAAATTTGGCTACAAAATTGAGAATTGAATGTGATGTCATCAAGTCCAACTCACAAAATGTAAATGGTTTACAATTGTAGCTAAACACACTAGATTTACGATGAAAATGCATTTTGGGAACAAAAGATGCAAACCAACAATTTTTACAACTAACCAACCATTGGGTTTTCATTTTTCCTACAACAAAGTGTAGAAATCCAAATGACAGATTCAGGCTAATTTCTAGCAACAAATATCGCAATGTAGCTTTTCTACATGCAAAATTTGCTATATTTACAACTATAGCATAGGGAGGAAAGGACTTACGTTGATCCTGGAAGTCTATATAGCATGCTTTTCATAGGTATAGCCACCTGAAGGCTTGTAATCTTAGAAAATATCTCTTCTCCCTCAGCATAATTGCTACCGAAACAAGCTTTAGAAAGCACATCGGCAGCATAGCTCTGGAAATCCTCATCTATTTTTATATCTGAGATTCCCCCTCCACGCTCAATTTTTCCTTCCCATGATCTCATCAAAGGAAGGGATGATTCTGCCATTAAATCCACCATACCCTGTGAACATTTGAAAGTGTCAACTGTACAAAAATTTTCTTTTATGTCCGGCAGAGGATTCAAATTTCAGTGAGGAGCTTCTGCAAAAAATTATTTTGCACAATGACGTGTTACATCTTCTAATGCATGAGTACTGAACCTTGTAACACTAACCTTTTCCATATTATGCTTCAAATTCGCCTGCTCGAGATCTTATAAATGTCTCTCGACCACTCCACATGGTTAGCTTCGCCCACAATTAGTGTAATACAAAATGCAGAGGTTTATAAGGTACAATTTCAGATGGTTTTGTGGGTTTCGATCACACTTATCAAAGATTCAAAGTGTGATCCATACTAGTACCTGTTGTACAGAAAAATCTCATGGCATATTTCACTACGGACTTGGAGTGTGAAATTTGTGACATTTGAAGGCAACTATAAACAAGGGCTTTGTAAAACGTCAAGCCCCATTAGCGCCATACATCATTTGCATTGCATTAAAACTTTCACGGTACAAGATCCAACAACTTTAGTAAATACCATTAAAGATTTCTATTGAATCAATATCTACTATCCTGGAATTTAGGATATAATGTTAATTTTGTATGTGAGGAAACAACCATTATAGCTTACCTTAACCTTCTCCATGAAAAATTCAGGTGCTATGATCTTTCTTTGAATTGCCCATTCATGTCCGCTAGCTGCTATGATACCTTTGCCAAAGAGAGCAGTAAAGCTTTTGTTCGAAGCGGTAGTCTTTCCTATGTCCAGAGATTTGTTTGTACTTATTTCCTTCACTAAATCAGGGTCACTCACATACAAGGAAATGCTGCTACCGAACGAAAACATGAAAACTGGACCTGCAAATTTGTTATGTGCATGATAGAAAATCAGAACATATGGGAGTCACTAAAGTGTCTGTTAAACGAAAATTGAGAGCCTGATGAACACATTAAAACATGGTTACCGTATATTTCTCTCCAGCGATTGAAGTACGGAAAGATGGTAGAGGAATAATCATGCGATATTTCACTGCTTTCTTCTTTGCTTTCATGTCCTTTTTCATTTTCTGATCTTTTCATGTCAGGGATATTGCCTACGATGAAAGCAGGCTTAGGACCCGTGATCCCTTGAACCTTAAGAGCTCGTCGAATCTTCTCAGGCTTCAACCACAGAATGTTGTAGAGATAGAAGATCAAAGTGGCTACGGCCAACGCAAGAGCTGAAAGGTAAGGCATCATAACCATCTCCTCTGATATTTTCTCATCCTCCTCTTATATAAATATCACAATCCCAGTGTAAAAAAAGTCTAATATGATGTAAAATGGGGCTTTTCTAAAAGTTTGGATTGGAGGGTGCTGACTCTTGGTCCGGAAAAAAACAATGAAGGATCCTTGAGTGCATTGGAATATCACCATCAGAATCCATGGACTGCAGTATCAAGAAGTTAGTACAAATAATTCATATGATAGAAACATTCAACATCTGGGGAGTAGACTTTCCAAAAAAAAATATATGTAAGCGCATGGGATATTATTAGAAATACCATATATGTTTTAATTTAATGTTTTTGATTACATGATGGTAGCAAAAAAGATTTGGATGTAAGTGAATTAGAGTAAGAGGAATATATGCCTGAAGCAAGTGAATGATCCTCATCTCTGGATTAGCTTGCTTCGGCTTACGGTAGTTTGAAAATTTTTTAGACCTTTTCTTAAATTATCGAGTGCAAATAACAATTTTAAAATCTCTCTGTACCTAAATTTCTACTAGTTATACTAAATTATTGAAGCACTCTGGTGCCTTGAACCTAACTCTATGTTGTTTTGTGAGTTCTGAAGTTAACCTTTGTAATATTCTATGTCAAGGCTCCATTGTCCTTTCTGCGGTGCGTTACCTAGCTACTTCATATATTATCAGATGCTAATCTCATGTTTACATATGTTGGGTCTCTTATAGGTTCATTAAATTAAATTTGTACTGTTCTTGACTTAGGGGGTAATTTACTAAACTCACTGTTTGTTAACCATACAGAAAAACCAAGTTGATGGTATGACCGCAATTAGCCAAGCTTGAGGGTTGTCCTGTTCCTCAAAATTTCTATCCCTTTCACCTTTAAAAAACTAATAACATTAAGTTTAGAGGTGTTTTGATTTAATGTGGTAGAATTGAGGGGTAAATCAACAACTATCAAGATGTGAATGGTGAATTTATAAACAAGGTTTGCTTTTGGGGGTATACACGTTAAAGACCAGAAAGGTTAAAAAAGAGATACCTGCGTATATACCCCATATCATTGGAATTTGCAAAAATACGCCCAAATCTTAGTATTTGTAAAATCACCCCTCAAATCGTCTACGTTGAGAGAAAATAGCCCTAAAATCAATAAATCATTAACTTGGTGATAAAAATTTGACAAATTTTGTTAATAATTTTTACATTACAATTACAAATTAGCATATCAAAGTTGACAATTGATTGCTTTGAGGGTAATTTTTTCCAAAAAATTTAATGATTTGAGGGGTAGTTTTACACGTATTGAGACTTAGAGGGTATATTTGAAAATCCATACGGGGTATATATGCAAATCATTCTCCCTTTAAAAGAGGGAGTACTAGAAAAACTTTCATTTCCCAAAAATATCCTTCATCTTTCATGAAATTAACCAATTTACTCTATTATCATAACTCCCAATCTTATTAAATCACATTAATTAAAGGTTTATACTATAGTATAACTATTCTTTAGATTATTAAATAATTAAATCAATTGTTATAATAGTATATGATTATCAAGTGTATGATGTTTTAATATACTGTAGGAATTAATATTTATGTAATAATGCAACTCCAATTAGATTATAATAGTATAAAATTATATTAAACATTATATTTGTAATAGTATAAGATTATAATTAAACATTAAATTTTTTTATAATGCAGAGTCATGTTTGAAACTAGTATTTTGTTCTTGCTTTTAGTCATATTGTATAAAATTGTGCAGAGCATGCATGCATCAATTCCTTTCTCATCATTATAAAGAGGAATAAAACTGTCAATTGTAAAATTGTACTTTTATTTATATTTCTACAGAAAAGGTTTGGAACCGAGTTAAATGATCTTCTACATACTAACATTAACAATTTGATACCTCGTTTACAAGAAAATATTTATTTAGAAATAAGTGTAATAAACTATTTTGATTTATATTCTTTTGTATATTGAAAAATGAAAATCTAAAAACTCTTGAAGGCAAATTAATTAATGAATCAATCTTACATGTGAAAATATTACTAAATCTTACTATATAATTATCCTTTTAATAGTGATATAAGATTTGCAAAAAAATAATGCTCCTTTTGGGTCTTCACTAGGCTATTATCATATGTTTGTTTAAGTCCAAATTAACTTAAAAGGATTCAATATATAAATTAGAGTGAAATGCTAAACTATATTATCAATTTTAGCTAAAATCTAGAAATTTATACCAGGTGCATTGCACGTGCAATTCATCTAGAATAGCCCTTAAAAAACAGAAGACGCTCCCCCCGGAACCGGGTTCTACTCGAAGTCGCTGCTGAGCAACCCAACCCGGTAAAGCCCTTCGTCCATCGAGCGGCGGTATACTGCGCCACCGGAGCACCGTAAGCACAAAGCTGCTCCGTCTTCACTGAGAACCCTCCCCCATGAAATTATCTTCCCCAAAGAAAAACAAGTCCAAAATCGAGCATGCGATTTGCTTCTTGTTGTTTGCGTGGGTCGCTGAGATGGGTCCAAATCCAATCCAAGCTTCAATGCCCTAGTTCTCGACTGTGTTCTTCAGCCAGAGATCGAGCTAGGGTTAGGGTTTCTAGAGAAAGGGGATGCCTTTTTGTTTGCAATTTCAGTGCCCTATCATCTCCCACACCGGTAAATATTTGCTGATAACATTAAATTAGCTACTGTTGTGCTGATTTTTTTCATGTTCGTGTGCTCAATGTAAAATTCTGTTTATTTTCAAAATTTTAGTATTTATTTGATTTCAAGAAAAGAACTTTTTTAGAAGATAGCAATAAAGATTAGTACTTGTTTTCTGATTGACTGTCAACAGACATTTTGCAGTGCGAAGTTACTGCCCAAGGAAAATCTTAGGCAGGAGTTTTCCTATAAGGGCCTGTTCGTTTGCCTAAAAAAAAGAGGGAAATCAAAGAAATGGAAAACTATTAAAATGAAGAATTGTTTTTGGACTGTTTGGTTGGCTAAAAAAGAAGGAAATCAAAGAAATAAAATTGAAATGATGTTAGTTGTCACCTTATTATTGGATGATGTTTGTGATTTTTTAAGAAAACTAGTTTTGGAGTGTTCGGTTGACGAAAAAAAATAAGGAAATGAATTATAAGAAACCTATTTCCTGTAGTTTCTTGTTTTCTTTTGTTCGGTTCATTCTTAAAAATAAGAAATGAAATGAGATGAGATGAGTTGTCATTGTATTATTGGGTGATGTGAAGAAAGATTAAGAAAAGTGTTTTCATAACTTTTTGGGATGAAAATGAAGAAATGAAATGTTAATGAGATGAGGTGAATTGTTATAATATTTTATTGGATGATGTGAGTGATTTGAAATGATGAGAAGAGATGAGTTGAGTGATGTTTGGATGAAAATAATATTTTATTAGATGTGATGGATGAGTTGTTAGATAAAAATAATATTTTATTAGATGTGATGGATGAGTGGTTAGATAAAAATTATATTTTATTAGATGATGTGGATGAGTTGTTGGATGAAAATAATATTTTATTGGATGTTGTGGGTGAGTTTTAGGGATGGAAATGGAGGAAATGGTGAGTTTTGAGATTTTCACCATTTCCATTTCCATTTCTTGGTTTTTAGAAAACAAACGAACAGGCCCTAATTTGAACAATCTACATAATGTCACATCTGAATAACCACATGCATAATACCCACACAAAAAAAGATGTTTATGCTTATATAATTGATGCATAGATGAGGCTGTTGTTAAATGTTGAAATCATTTTTCTCTCCACATGCTTGTTGTTTTTTTTTTAATTCATATTCTAGCAAGACAGAAATCATTTTGTAGTTTTGTACCATGATTTTTTTTTTAAAAACGGATACAAATATGAAATATCTCAGTGCGCAATCATTTTTTGGGTCTCTATGAGTTGGTTATCGAAATTGAATCTTATTCAATCAAATGAAAGAATTGTTGTTTTAGAACACGAAAAGGATGAATGTAAGCATTTCACTTCTTATGTTGCATTTTAGTCCATTATATTGAAATTTAGCACAGCAAGGAAATGATAAAATGAGAACCAGATGTTGCAAGGTAGTCTTTCTTTAATGAAGAGACAATTGAAAACCATTTGGTACTTCTAGTTACAGGTTATTGCTAATTGCATTATACAATGGTTATTTTGGTTGCTTGAATTTAGACTCTTCACATCATGCAGCTTAATGCATCTTCACAAATTAAACAAAGTCTTAATTATCAGAGAATTTATTTTTCCTCCCTCTTTTGATCTCCATACTTTTCATCTTTATTTTTTGTATTTTTATTTGCCCTTTTAATTTATGTCCAAATAATACCCAAGACTCACAAACTTCTTCATTTCTGTTTCTGGTCGTTATAATCACCAACCTTTTCTTTTACAATCTGCAGAGATATACGGCGTTCACTCCCTATCTATACAATGATTCAGTATCTGATACAGCGAATCTGTTTAAATTATCACCAGAACATATCAATAAACGGCCTATTATGACATGGGGTTCTGTGAAAGAAGAAGAAGTGATACAAGCCTTTGAAAAATTTCTTTCCACCATTGAAAACATGAACCTCTCTACAAGGGAAAAGTGCAGCCTGTATATTAAGAGGCTCATAGAATTAGGCAACCTCTCAGATGCTATTTGTCTATTTAGCTATTTGCAGGATAGGCAGATCCATATCGGAACGGATATTTATAACATCCTTTTGAATGCAGCAGGTGAAACAAACAGTTTTGATCTTTTTGCTGAGATCTTCAAGAAATTACTGCTTTCTAGACATCCTCCTGATTTTACTTCCTATGTTCATGTTGCAAAGGCTTTTCACTATGTCTCTGACTCAATACTATTACTCAAGTTCATCAGGGAACTGTTAGACATAACCATTAGCAGAGAACCCATAGTGATGAACAGGATCATTTATATCACTGCGAAATCTGGGCAACTTCATAAAAGCTTGATGATATTCGAAGAATTGAAAAATTCAAAAGCTAAAATAGACACAGTTACATTTAATACTGTCCTTGTGATTTTAGGCAGGGCAGGGAGAGTTGATGAAATGCTGAACGAGTTTAGTATAATGAAAGAATTAGGTCATTCCCCGAACCTTGTTACTTACAATACTTTGATTAACTGTTTGCGGAGACTTGGGAGATTAGATATGTGCAAATCCTTCGCAAAGGAAATGGTTGAGAAAGGTATTGAACTAGATTTGAGAACTTATACTGCATTAATCGATGGGCTCGGTCGAGCAGGACATGTAAATGATGCAATGAGGCTCTTTGATGAGATGAAAAGGTCACAGATTCCTTCAGTTTATGTGTACCGTGCAATGATCAGTAATCTAAAAAAGGCTGGAAGATTTGAGCTAGCACTGAATTTATCAGAAGAAATGAACTCAAGCAGTATGAAGCTTATTGGTCCCGAAGACTTCAAACGGAAAAAAAAGGCAATATACTACTCAAAAGTACGTCTAGAGGGCTCTTGATTCCTTTTGGATTTCTTTTTGGGTAAAGTTCCAGTTTATGTATCATATTGACTTTGTATTGATAAGAATATGCTGATACGATGATCAAAGAGAAGTTACCGGGGCCTACAGGATAAAAGTATGAAGTTCGTTGCCAGTTACAAGATTTTTTATAAAAGAAATCTGTATATGACAGACCCAAAAGAACTGAATGGGAAGAATCGGATTCATGTATTCGACGCCAAAAATCTGGGATAAAGGCTTTGTTGTTGTACAACTGTATTTGCCAAGTTGGTGGTGACCCATGAAGCAGTCTACAGCTTTTGTTAAAAACAAAAGGAAAATAGAAAGGTTATTCATCTAGAATATCTAGATATCCATGAGTTTGTACAAAGCTTTCTTGAGATAGGTAATGTGGTATTTTTTGCTGATAATAATTATTCCTGGGCAGTTGAGAAACTATCTTGAAGGTTGACAAGTGAATTATCTGCCACATATCGAGGTAAAAAAATCATGTTGTCTGAGTTTCTGAGTTCACCAATTCAAATCCAGAAGCTAGAAACTACGAGGGAGAATTCTTGCTAGTTCATTGAACTTGGTGAAATCTAAATGACCGACGGAATGTAAGTATTGCGAGGAATTCAAAGGGTACTGTATTTAATACCATCAATACGTTTTTGACTATGGCTCGTCTAAGTATTTTTAAATGGAAATCCATGAGAAATTTGGTCTTACCATTGATGAATTTTGTACACCATATGCACCTCTACCTACTGCACTCACTGCCATCTTCAAATTTTGAACTTTTATTTTCTAGTGTTGCATTAATCTTATAGGTGTAAAGTGCTCACTGATGATATTATTTATGTCGAGAGACATGACATTACTGGAGTATTTATCAGGGCTATATCTATTGGTTTTTAATTTATCATTAATATCTCCTGTAATATTGGAGGCAAACTGCTTCCATGTACAATACTCACACCAACCCGATAAAATATTTAAATCAAGGTTATCTATCCTAAAATGAAAGTTTGTTACAACAATTATTTTAAGAAAGCATAAACAACCAAAATTAACAGGAAGATAACTTGTTTATATTTTGCTTTTCCCCCATGACAAGGAAATACAACTAGCTCAGCCTTATAATATTCCAGGACTAGGTTCTCATTTGCTTAAGGACATTGATCTTTCTCAGCTCAGAATTTGTTTCTTCCATGAGAAAGCCAAAGGGTTTTCTTTAGAGGTCTAGATGGTAATGGAATCTCCTTGTTCTTAAGTAAGCCTCCTGCTTACTCCAAACTCTATAGCATCCAATTTCATCAACACCTTCTCTTCTTCTCTACCTTACATCAAAGATGGGGAAAACGCACATCGAGATCTGCATAATTTCTGCCCATGGCCTTTGCCAGTCATCTGCTCTCTGGAGACCTCAATGGTATGCTGTTGGATGGATTGATCCTAACAACAAATACTGCACAAAGGTTGAAAGTTCGAAGAATCCGAATCCAACATGGAGAACCTATTTCTCAGTTGTTATCAATAACAGAAACCCAAACCTGCAAGAATTGTCACTAACCATAGAAGTCTACAGGAGTTCAATTTTCACAAGGGAAAAGCTTCAAGGAACGGCCATAATCATGCTCGAGGAGTTCTTAATGAAGTTTGGAAGATACGAGGCTTTATCAGGATCGGAGGCTGAGGAGACCATAAGTTTACCGTTGAGGAAGAAGAACTCTGCCAAACCTCAAGGGCATGTGGATGTCTCGATTCGTGTCTTTGAGGAGAAAGAGGGTGTTTATTCACATTCAGGTGCTTCTTTGTTTCCTTGCAAAGTAGAGGAAATTATATTCTTTTCTTGCTTCTATGATATATATTGGCAATTAAAATTGAATGTGTATATATCAGAAAACCCCTAGAAACTTTGGTAGATTTTGCACAAAACACCCCTGAACTTTATATTCATGGAAAACCCTTGTCTCACATTTGTACAATGACTGAGGATAGTTACTTTTAAGTTCATGACTTACGGCAGTCAATTTAAGTTGTCGCATGCTCTGCAGGTGACAACTTTTGGACAACTTTATCCCTATCTAGTAATTATAACTTAATATTACCCTTTTGGGTAAGAGTAGGAAAAGGTAAAAGGGGTACGACCTTGGCCCTTGTAATTGTGGGATCATATCTAAGATTCAGAGTTCGCCTGAATTTGGTGCCGCTCTCGGGGTGGGCATCAAAACAGCAATGTAGACTTCATACTCTACCCATTAGCTCATCTATGAGAATTTCCAATCATAGGAGGGGCTTAGTACAATGTGAAAGTTCAGGAGGGCTCTTTTCTATGATTTATAAAATTCAGAGGGTTTTATGCAAAACCCCCAAAGCTTTGAGGGGATTTGTGAAATTTACCCAAGCTGTAGCTTCCATAAACTATACTGCAAAAGTTTTCATGACCACATACATAGATGACAGAAAGAGGAAGAAGAAATATCTTTATAAGCATAATGTCAACACGATTATCTGTTATACTTTATTTTCTATTTTCAGATGCGGGTCTTGGTGAAGGCTTTCGCTATGCAGATTCCAACAGTAATAGTTTTTCAGATAGGCAAGTCACATCCTACCCAAATCAATCTCAAAGGCCACAACACAGCCCATTTGAGAATCAAACACACAACAGACCCCTCCATCCTTACAATCACTCAGCTCTCAACACAACCAACTATGAAGAACAGGAAGCGCATAATCGAGCTCGTACCCCTTCACCGCCGCCACCACCTTCAAACACTGGTTTCCTACCGACACTGTTTCCAGACACATGCATCAACATGCCCGGCTCTGGAGCTTTCGCTGCTGCTGCACTGATATTTGGTGATGATTTCTTATCAGGATCAAGTTTTCCTTCATCTGTATCAACTGATCCTTCGTTCTGATTATACCGAATTGTGGCATGAGAATGTTGCTATTCATAATAAATAAACATCAAATTTGAACTATCTTTTCTGTTCACTATACAACAGAAGATACTACTTTTCTCGATCTTCGGAAGTTTCTTGAAGAAATCTTTTGACGATGTTCAGGAAATCCTCTCCCCTTTCTTCATGAGGAATGTGGCCGCAGTTCTTGATTACTTCGAGTCTGGAGCTAGCGATGGCCTGAGAGAGGCGGCGCACATTCCATAAGGGTACTCGGTCAGTATTTCCAATAACAATAAGCTCTGCAAAAATAATAGGTTTGAAGAATTGTGGATGTGCTTATGAGAAGAAAGAACAAATGTGAAATGGAGTTGAAATGGATTGTGATACTTAAAACTGTAGAGAGTCTAAGCAGGGTGTGATTGCAGCCAAAATGCATTCTCACTGGGTATAACTTTGGGAAAACTACACAAAACTACGATGGCCTTTTTTTTCTTTTCTTTTCTTTTTCTTTTTTTTTTTGGGTGTGTTTTGTGTTTTGTTTTCTTTTGGGGGGAACTACGTGAAATTGAATGTTAGCATTCGTATCTTGGATAAAAAGTCTAAACTATGCTCATATCCATCAACCCATAGAATTCATAAGGATATAATAGGACATATAAAGTATATATATATGCTTCGCACATGAGTACTTATACAAATGTTTATGGAAGTATTGTGCAAAATAACCCAAAGTTCATGCTAGTTTTGTTAAATTTACCCCATTACCCCTTTGCAAAAAAACGTTAAAAATGAAAATAAAGGTTATGAAAAAAAATTAAAAAAATAATAATAAAATAAAATAAAAAAACAATCTTTGAAATTGCTCTTTGTCCCCCCAAATCTTCAATATGTTGATATTAGCCCCCCAAATCTTTGAAATTGATCTCAGGCCTCACAAATCCTATTAGTATGTTGAAATAATAAGCCCCCTCGTTAAAATCTAGTTGAAATGGGGGTATTTTCTGTTTACTTAAAACTTTTTTGATAATTGCTAGTTACACCCTTCTCACAAAAACCCAAACTCACTAACCACTTTAACTTATACTCATTAAGCCCCCCAAATTTGTTTAAAACCCTAAGCCAAATCTAATTTTCAGTTCATCGTCTCCAACATCTTCCCTAACGGCTCTCTTTAGCTCTAATCCCAAATTTGCATCGAATAGATTCTCGTTGGGGAAGACGTTAGAGAAGATGCTAGAGAAGATAAAGTGGAAAACGAGTTTGGGTTAGGGTTTTATTAAATAGATTTAGAGAGCTTAATGGGTTTAAGTTAAAATAGTTAATGGGTTTGGATTTGTATGAGGGGTATAACTGGCAAATCATCAGAAAAGTAAATTAAAGATTTAGGGGACTAATATCAAAATAACCCTATAAATAAATAAAGCGTACTACTTTCTGAAAAAGATTACCAGGACATTTAATGTCATCAAGCCTCGAGGCTAGGGAAACTGCAAATTCTGCTGCAGAATCAGTAAGGGGCTGTTTGGTTGTATGTTTTTACCATGTAAAAGGATGGAAAGTGTAAAAAAATGGGTCCCAATGTCAGCTTTCATCAGTTTCAATTATTTGTTTGTAGTTGTAAAAATAGTGTAAAGTGATTTCATATGCTGATGTGGCTTGTAAAGTGATTTCATAAAAAAAATGATATGATTTTAGGAGAAAGCTGACATTGAAGTCAAAAAAAATAATAATAAATAATTCTAACCAATATGATCATTTGAGTAGGGACCACTTTTTACACTTTCCAAACAAACAATTAAAGTTACATTTGCAAACCAAACAAACAATTTATGATTCCAATGGAATAAAAAACAAACAAAGAAAAGTATACAAGTGAAATTGATGAGGTGGACAACAACTTTTCAAGTTGTGTCATAAATACACAATTTTACCAACAACAACCAAACAGCCCCTAAGCAAAGCCGGTGTATACTCCAAGAGGGCCATTTCCCAACCTTTTGCTCCCAATGGCTGTATTAGCAATGAATAAAATGTTAGACCCTAAGACCGTTAGGAAAGAACCCTAGAGTGGGGGTTAATAGGGTTTATGCTAATCTAATCTGATTTTATGCCAATTTAAAACTTATTAACACATATGTTCTTGCAAGATGATATACAATTACTTATGAGCAAGAATATGCAATATGAACAAAGGTGATATATATGATATACAATTACTTATGAGCAAGAATATGCAATATGAACAAAGGTGATATATCCTAGCAATGAGATATACTATATACAAAGGTGATATATCCTAGCAATGAGATATACTATATGATGTATGCAAGGATATATAAACTATCACAAAAGTGAAACAAACAAGATGCAATAGGCTATAAGATGAACAGTTATAAGTGCGCTAATGCAAACCAAACACGTTATATGTTCACGAGGTTCGGACTTTCCGTCCTACGTCCCCGCTCCCCACTCTCGAGGAGAATCCACTACACAACGCGGTTTGGAAGCCGAAACTTCTCTACACACTCGGTTTTCTAGCTAACAAAAAACTCTACACACTCGGTTATCAAGTCAACCGACAACTCTCACAAATTCTCACAATGTACATACACAAGTTATAACCTCAAGTGTTGGTCCTCACGTATCGACTCCCTCAAGTGCTCGGAATTATCACCTCTCACTAGGCCACCGACGCCACTCCTCTCGGTATCGACTCCGTCCTCATCACACACTCCTCTCGGTGTACAAGTGTGTTACAAAGTGAACTTCACAAATTAAGCACAACAAATGATTGTTCTCTAAAAAGGTGAGAACTCAATTAGGCACAACTCAATGTTACTATCTCTCACAACCCCAAATATATTATGAATGCAAATACAATAAGCTCAAGTGGGTGTGTGTAACAATGAGATTAATCAAATCTAAACTCAATATAAAACTAGCTTTAATAAGATGATAATCAAACAAATAAATATAAAGCTAGAAAAGAGTTTAGAAAATTTCTCAATATATGACAAGAGATGGAGGGGGAATAGTTGATTGCTCAAACTCCAATAGATGATCTCCTCAAGCTCTTGTGGAATTGAATTCACAAACTCAAACTCAAATATGCTTAAAAGCTTTTAAACACACTTAAACAAAACTTAAACCCTTGTTAAACTTGATTAAAACATTTTCTTGGTTGTCATAAAAAATATCAAATAAATTCTAAAAATTATGAAACTTTGGGAAATGATTGTAGACATGATAATAAACATGCTACAAAAACTGGTTTTCAAAAAGGACCTCCCAAATACGAAATATCATTATTTTGCAAAATAGTCCAAAACATAAAAATGTGAATACATGAATTTTGACATTTTGGCTAAACCATGTTTTGAAACTTTACAAAATAATTTTGTGGACTTAATGAATGATTGTTAAGTCCATAAACCATGAAAATAATATTTTCACAAAAATACTTGTTTTGTAAACTTTCAAAACAATAAACATGATTTTATTGAACTAAATAAAATTGATATTGATGAAATCATATGTAAGCATATAAACATGAAACAAAAATGTATTTTCCAATTATAATCAATTGTTTCATATTTAAACTTGAAAAACCAAAAACAATAAATATGAAAGATGTAAATTCATATTTATATATACTTGGAAATCCATACCCATTTTTCTCATATATATATATATATATATATATATAAACAAAGCTTGTGTTGTATATATATATAACTATATATATATAATGAAACCAATGTAATGTGTGTGTATATATGATTGAGCTTAAAGTACCAACACACATAATGTAAACCTAAACTAATGTTACCCAAGCTTGATCTTGATCTTCAATAAGCTCTATCTTGGTACACTCGCGGATGAAGCTTGAACTTGAATTTTTAACTTGAATTGCAAGGCTTCAACCACTATTCCGCCAACCTCCATTGGATATGATCATGAATGCGCAATTCTATCCATCCTCCAACACGTTGTTTGTCTACAATAAATAGAAATACACAAACACTAGACAAACAACATTAGTGATAAATTGTTTGTTAAACATCATCAAAACAAAGAGGCCAACATAAAACATTACAGAAAATTAAATAGCACAACTCCACACAAGCAAAAAAGGAAAATATATATGGTTTTAGTATTTATAGATCATTACAATAACCTTGGTATAACCATTTATTATATCGTCACTGACTTGACGCAAATCGAATACCTGATTGACAGAGCTTATCTACCAGATTCCTCAGCTGTAAATCAATAAGAAAATTTATTACAAGGTTCAACTAAGACTACCAAATATACATGCTTTGTTCAGAACTTGGTTCTCTTATTATATGAATGAATTATGTCTGCGTAAATGTGTGAAATTTAAGATAGCTCATAGTTTAAGTTTGGATGTAGTTGGTATGAACTATAAAATTTCCCCCCTTTGTTTCTATCGACAATAACTGCGAGAAATTCCTGAATGTATGATTTTGGAAAATTGCAAATTTTGTATGTGTGGAAGTGGCTACTTAACTGTAAACGCAGGAAATCAGAAGATTTAATGAGGTAAAATAGGCAATAAAAATTTGAAGACATGTTCGAGTATGAGAAACATATATGTTGGAACTTGCTCATTTTCAGCAGTGGATGAAATACAATAGCTCCTTGCAATTGTTACAGATATATCTCCAACAGTTTACATGATTTTAAACAAAGTCATGCACAAAGTATTCATAGTCAAAACACAAGACAGGAAAAAACACACACGCAGACACACAAGATAGTAGCCAATAGTAACATGGTGGAATGTTCTATAGAGATTGTCTCATTGATAATGAACGTTAGATGTCGAAACCAAAACTTGAATTCCGCATCAAAAACTTATTAACTGAAGAGAAGAAAAATTCTGTACTAAGTATGATGAAGGTTAAATTGGAGAACTATGCTGAAGTACTAGCCAAATGAGCCTTGAATGCAGCTAGACAATGCATATATTCTTCTGATTAAAGTCCTTTGTAATGAGACGAGAACAGCAACTTCAGAAATGCTCAAAAAAGAGATTATTTTGATAGTATCTTCAAAAAGAACATACGAATATTAGTAAACCTCATTAAGCTTACCAATACTCGAGCCAGAGCTGATCTCAAGAACACACACAAAGCCTTGGTGTAAATGGAGAAGAGCAAGTCATTAATTCTCTTGAACATCTTCCATATAAACTTTCTTGTGACCTTGTATAGCTTGACAAAAACCTTCCAAATTCTAGCAAAAGATCCTTCTCGATATTTTGATTTCGAATTCCAGTCTTCTCCATTCCCCATCGCTGTCTCATTCTCTGTCTCTTTGGAAAACCATGGTGCAATCATTGCTGGTGCCGACAAAATCAGAGCAGAGACTTTCTCTGGAGCTTGAAAGTATGTGTTAATTGCTACAAGGCAACCAGCACAGTGTCTAACACAATTTAATTCAGTTAAAATTATTGGAGAAGAAACATATTTTTTTTGAAAAGTAAAAGAAAATTTGGTTTCCTTCATTTTATCAAGAAGCTTGAAAAAGACCTCATTTATGGGTTAAAAAAACAAAAAAAAATTCCAATCCCTTTGCCAGAAATTCAAAGAAAATGAAGAGATGAGCTCGAATTTGTACAAACACTTTTAACTTGTTCCAGTTTTGAGAATGTTTCATCCGTGTTTCTCGACTAGTTTGTAATTAAAGTTTGAACATGACCCCGTTGTTTCATTAAAATGAACTTAACAAAACATCCCAACAAACAACAAAACCATGCTGAAGCAAACCGAGAAAGGAAAGAATACAGAGATATAAATTATGCATAGTGAGAAATTATGCATCTTTCTCGGTATCTTGAGCAGAACAACTTAAGATATCATTTCTGATAAAAACCTCAAATTCCAATCTCTTTGCTGGGAATTCAAAAGAAAAAAAAACTGAGCATAAATTTGAGCAAACATTTGTAACTCATTCGAGGTCATTTATTATCCAAACTCAGAGAAGTTTAATTAAACTTCTCAAGCCTGAACATGCCATATAAAGTTTTAAAATAAGATTAAAGATGAATCAAAAACTCAAACAAAGAACCTTTTTCTTGCCCCACAAGAATAACTTTTTGAGCACCCAAAAATACTATGAAGGAAAGAGTAGCCAACACAGAGAACGACAAGAGTATGGATTCGACGGTGTAGATTCACCGCCGCCATAATCCGACGGTCCAAGATAACCGGTCCGCGAAGTCAATCCAAAGCCTGGTCGATCATAAGCAAGGACTTTAGACCCAACCAACTCACTGAGAGGCTTCATAACTTTATCCCAAGAGAAAATACTGGCCAAAAATCCATGCAACAATATCATAGCCTCATAGGCAATTTAACAGCATCATTTCCTTCATTTTCGTTTTGGCACTCACAAATCTTATGGTGGATTTTAACACCATTGAATTCAAAGAAGGAAGAGTTGTCATCTTTGAGATTTGTTGATTCATGAAGGTTATCGTGATTGACTCCTGCTACACTCACCTGTAGAAGAAGGAAGCTCATTGTTACTTGTGTGAGTGGGACCACGAGCCCACGAGAGCTGGGCAACGTTTCCGCATGATGAAGGCCCACCCGCTTCTCAAAGTCAGCAGACTATATATATCTATGCATTTATTTTAGGGTTTTTCGGTGCAAGATTGAGAGGGGGATTAGGCAGGTGGCTGGGTGCAAAGGGGCTGATTTGAGAGCAAGTGCAAACAGGAGAACGCAGAAGTAGGCTGTTCTTTGGCTTGTTTGGTGGCTGTTCTTGGGTGTTGACGACTGTATTTTGTGTGAGGCTTTTGAGAGAGATAATTGTGTGAGGGTTTAGATTGAGTGGTTGTAAACCCTAGTTGTATTATCTCCCTCTAATAGTAGATCTCCCCCTCCTTGCCCTATTGTGCACTAGAAACTCTGCCGAAATTTCCGCTGCGCACAACAAGTGGTATCAGAGCTCGGGCTACGCTTGGGCTATTTGGAGGAGTAGATCAATTTGGAGACTCATCTAGGGCTTCGTTTGGTGATAAAGGTGAGATCTTTTGGTAAATACTCTATCTTTCAGTTTTGGATCTATTCTTTGTTCGTTGGTGCGTAAGATGTCGGGGAAAGAAGGTGCTTCGAGTGTCGAGGGTGGTTCTTCTGGCGCGAAGACCATTCAGAGTTTGAATATCCACTCTATGAAGATAGATGTGGAGAAATTTAATGGCACAAACAACTTTGGATTATGGAGATGCGAGGTTTTGGATGCGCTGAACGCGCAGAATTTGGAGGATACCTTGGAGTTAGATGGCAAGCCAGATGATATTGAAGAGAAAGTTTGGAAGAAGATGAATCGAACGGCGTGTGGTGTGATTAGGTCTTGTTTGACTCAATATCTAAAATATGATGTGATGAATGAGACTGCTGCAAAGGAGATTTGGGAGATTCTCGAAAGCAAGTATTTGACCAAGAGTGTGGAAAATCGCTTGCATTTAAAGAGGAGGCTTTATCGTTTCCAATTGAAGAAGGGAACCTCCATTAGAGATCATATGAACCACTACACTAAGCTTCTTGCGGATTTGGCGAATGTGGATGTCGTGATTGAAGATGAGGACAATGTGTTGCTGTTGTTGAGTTCCTTACCCGACGAGGAATATGAGACATTCGTCCTTACTCTTATTAATGGGAAGGCATCCCTTTCGTATAGTGAGGTCACTGCTGCATTGGTGAATTATCAGCTTCGGAAGAAGGATAAAGAGAATTCGACTGAGTCTGTAGCAGAGGCGTTGGTCGTAAGAGGGAAGAATCCGAACCGGAAGAATTGAAAGTCACAGTAGGGCATCCTACAATTGAAAAAGATCAGTGTGCTTGATACAAGAAGACTGGTCATTGAAAGAAAGACTGCCCAAAGCTCGACGAATGGATGAAGAATAAGCAGAAGGGAAAAGGGAAGCAACCATCATCAGAAGCAAACATCGTATCGGATGGTAATAATTCTGACTCTTCTATTTATTCGCTTTCTATCAGTCCTACAGATAGCTATTCGGAGGAATCTGAATGGATATTGGATAGTGCTGCGACCTATCATATGTGCCCTAGAAGGGAATGGTTCTCTAGTTTTGAGAAGCTGGATAGTGGTGTAGTGCACATGGCTGATAACCGTGCATGCCAGGTCCTTGGGATAGGAAGAATTCGCATCAAAATGTTTGACGAGACTGTTAGAGAGTTAAATGATGTGAGATATGTTCCTTCTTTGAGGAAGAACTTGATCTCAATTGGAGCTTTGGTTGGAGAGGGTCTGAAGGTTTGTGTTGAGGACATGGTTCTCGAGATTGCGAGAGACTCTTGTATTTTGATGAAGGACGTCAGGAGGAATAACATGTATTACTTGACTGGAGGTTTAGTGGCAGGTCGAGAGCTGACGACTTCTGTTGATTCGACTAGACTGCGGTATTTGGGGCTTGGCCATTCTAGTATTGATTCCTCACATAGATTGAAAGAGGGTGTAAAGACCTGCAATTTAAAGTCCAGTGAACATGTTGATGTGAGCAAAAAGACCGAGGTGAAGTTTGGCACCTCTATTCACCGTGCTAAGGGTCGTTCTAGAGGAGTTCACGTGGATGTTTGGGGGCCTTCCAATAGGGCATCATTGGGAGGTAATAGGAGTTTGGTTTCATTTGTTGGTGACTGTTCTAGACGTGTTTGGGTTGCAACCAAATCCCCTTTGGAGAAAGTCCTAATAGTATCCAACAGATTGAAGAAGTGTGTGATAGATAGAAAGGTGAAGGTACTTCATTCTGATTTTGATGGGAGGTACAAGATGGACCTGTTTCTGTATTGGAGCCGAGCTCACGGCATTTCGAGACACTTCGTTGGAAAGGAAATCTTGGGACAACTTGATAGGGTGGCAAATTTGGAGAACCGTGCCTTGCTGAAGGAGGATCGGTATTTGTTGTCAAGCAATAGTCTGCAGAAGAGTTTCTGGACTGAGGCTTCGACATATTCGAGCCATCTTATTAAAGAGTTGTCAACTGCTGTGATTGGAGGTAAAACTCTATTAGAAGATAGGTCTGATTGTGTCACTTTGGTGGAGGCTTCGATGAGGAAGCCAATTGACTCTCAGCAGGTGGAGAGTTTTGGACAGACCTTAGAGGTATCGCAGTGGGTGAAGAACTGAAGATTGATGCTACTCCACATTGGGTGAGGATTTTCTCACATACTCCAGATCATTCTGCATTGGTTGGGATTCCAGCTGAGGTGACACAGCATGGAAGTCATTTGGATTCGGATGCAGATGATGAGTTGAGTTTTGATTCGAGTGCAGCTGATAGACATAGTTTGGATATGGCCATTGGTTCGCCTCAGGTGGAGGTGTTTGAGGCCATTGGAGGTGCTATCAGCCGCAGCGTTGATGATATTGGAGAAGGGTTGCGAACTCTTCTATTGGTTTGAGGTCGTTCGCGGCCATTTGGATGAACTACGGGCGGCTTGATTCCTTGGGCAAGAGGATACGTAGGCAGTCATGTCTGATGCAGCCGGTTTGGATTAGTTGATGAGGTGAGATTGTTTGGACTCTCGTTCGGGTTCTCGACTTGTTGTGGATTGAGTTCGTACTAGCCATAACAAGTGGGATATTTGGATGCTTTGGTGTCGGCTCAGTTTTGGGAAAACTTCATCGAGGTGGAGAATTGTGAGTGGGACCACGAGCCCACGAGAGCTGGGCAACGTTTCCGCATGATGAAGGCCCACCCGCTTCTCAAAGTCAGCAGACTATATATATCCATGCATTTATTTTAGGGTTTTCGGTGCAAGATTGAGAGGGGGATTAGGCAGGTGGTTGGGTGCAAAGGGGCTGATTTGAGAGCAAGTGCAAACAGGAGAACGCAGAAGTAGGCTGTTCTTTGGCTTGTTTGGTGGCTGTTCTTGGGTGTTGACGGCTGTATTTTGTGTGAGGCTTTTGAGAGAGATAATTGTGTGAGGGTTTAGATTGAGTGGTTGTAAACCCTAGTTGTATTATCTCCCTCTAATAGTAGATCTCCCCCTCCTTGCCCCGTGGACGTAGGCAGTTTGCCGAACCACGTAAAATTGGTTTGTTTGAGTTTGTGGTCATTGTAATAGTTTTTAGGATCTCTCGACGCGCAGTCCTAGAGCTGACGAGAGGAAGAGCTAATATCCCACTTTGATGGGATATTAGGCTTCAGATTCTTGTTCCCTTTGAGAAACAAAAATTCTTATCGATCTTTCTCTCTTATTGTGCACCAGAAACTCTGCCGAAATTTCCGCTGCGCACAACAACTTGAACCCTACTTTCTCTTTATTCGGTGGCCGACTTGTATTCTTCCACTTGAAAAATCTATATTATCTGGCTTGGAAGACCTAAAAGTTATCATGTACGTCTGGATTCCTAAATGCTAATATGTGATGCTTGCTTAGTATACATGATATTAATTATACCTTGTATCTCTTGAGATTAGATGCATGTGCTCTAAATTGGACCCTGGTAATTGTTGGGTAAGAAGCGAAGACAAACTAGGCTAATCTATTTGGATCCAAATTGACTCGCAAGAAATGATACCTAATTGAGTCTTGAGTCCAATTTCAACCCTATATCCATCCAACTGTCATTCTAAGGTGAGACTAAACCCCATTTCATGTCTTTGTCAGACCAAACTCACACATTGAATTGAATGAATGTGAGACAATTCTCAAGGAAATTGATGGAAAAGCTTCAATTCATAGGGTAGAATCATAGATGTCGAGAACGTGGGACACTGTAGCAAACCACAACCCAGGTTCAATCGTTCCAGAATGCAGTACACTAGCAAATTGGTTCATGTATCCGGTGACCCAATTTAGAATTCAATTTCAGCACAAATAAACAACAAAAAGTTTACACTAATTGCAACTTGGAATTTCTTTTACCATTACCAATCATTGAATTTGACTCTTGCAGAAAATTTTACATTAAGACAATTGGATTCTTATATTTAAAAACAGAACCTAAAGCGTTTCACGTCCCCTAGCATACCATATAAACCTACCTTTCATACGTGATTCCAAGTAAGTGCCATACCGCACTACCGTTCCCGTTCCGTGAACCTCAGGAAACAGGATTCCATGCAACTACGGGTAGAATCGTCACAAAGATTCCATGCAGTGGCATTATGTCGTGGATAATTGTAGTAGTTGAAAAGAACTTGCAGTAATCCTAAGGATACTGTTGAAGAACCTGGCAACATTTTGCTGTATTGTGCTGCTCAGGTCTAGACTAACTACAGTAATAAGGAACTCCGTCGAAGAAATCTATCCCTATAGTTGAATATGCCATGGTGAAATTTGTGGACTAAATTTTGACTTCATCAATAACATTCCCCTGCTTTTATTTACTGAATGAGCAATTTATGTATACAACCAATAGAAACCTCCACAAACCTCAGATAAATCAAGAAAGTAGGAAATAATGAAAGGCAAAGTTGCTTGACTCCTGCGTCACCTGAAGCGTTGAGGCAGAAAGAAGACCTTTTGATGTTTCCAGTTATGGTGCTGATGCTGAAAATTGCCTCGCTTGTGGGCCAAAAACATTTTGGAGGAATCTCTCAACGACCATTAGAAACTCTTCGACCTTCTCTTCATGAGGGAGGTGCCCACAATTCTTGATCAGTTCGAATGTGGAGTTAGGTATGGCCTTTGACAGACGCTCAGCATTCCATGAGGGCACTAGGCGGTCAGTGTCTCCAGTCACTATCAGCACTGCATCAGAAATAGAAAAAGAATTAGACTAAAGGAGAAAATGAATTCTACAATTTCCAGCAATAGCTTAAGATAAATTGAAGAAGAAGAAGATATAGCAAACAGTTTGCTTGTATGCCTTATGCTTTAAAGTTCACACATTTCCTTATAGCTTCATATCATCCGTTCCCTTCTTATAGACTTTTTGTTCTCTAAACTAAATGCTATACTTTGGTTGCATGACCTTAAAAATGCACGAGGAGTCATGCGACTAAAGGGTGGCATTTGAAAGTAGTGAAGATACAGTACGAAATTCTACACTTGGCACTGTGAAGTACACTGTGATGCAGGACAATGGTGGACCGACCATCTAATGTAAATAGGATTTATTAGGATTTTTTGGAAGGACTTTTAAGATTTTATCTTGATCTTAGGAGTTTGCCGTAAAATTTATTTTGCTTTTTATTAGAAGATTGCCATTGTAAAGGATTAACGATCGATTCAATAGCAGGTTGAGGTCTCAAACTCTAATTAAAAAGAGACAATAAATAAGCATTGTTCACTTATTACCTTTGGACTTTCCTAAGGGGGGAAACATATCATCATTGTGTGAAGCGTGGGGCCACACCCACGTGAATTGAGCAGCAGGTACGCGCTCACGTGGGGGAAGCATGCGGCAAGTGTGAACGCGCAAGCGGAACGTGGTTTTTTTTTCTTTGTGATGGCCCACCCGAATTTCATCTGTATAAATTCCAACGCGTTTTCTTTTCTTAGGTTTTGGTGCAAGCAGTGCGGGTGAAAGAAAAACTACGGCGAAAGAAAATAGAGAGCTGGTGTTTTGAGAAGGAGTTTGAGCAACCCCTTTTAGGGTTTTGAGTATCCTTTTGAGAGAGAGATTGTGAGGGTTTTATTTGTGAGATCTTGTGTGTGTGTAAGCCCTATTTATATTCTCTCTAATAGTAGATCCCCCTTCCTTGCCCCGTGGACGTAGGCAATTTGCCGAACCACATAAAATTGGTTGTCTCGCTATTTGTGTGATTTGTAATAGCTTTTAGGTTCCCTCGACAGGTCAGTCCTAGAACTGATGAGAGGAAGAGCTGATATCTCACTTGGTTGGTATATTTTGCTTAAGGTTCTTGTTTTCTTGGTGAAACAGGATTTCCTATTACAACCTGACTCTCTTGTTGTGCTGCAGAAGTGCTGTCGAAATTTTCGTTGCACGCAACAAGTGGTATCAGAACCCAGGTTTCAGATCTAGGATTTTTGAGTTTGGTGGAGAAAGATTCTTGTGTGAAACTTGGTTCTTGGAGTTCTAGGCTTCGATGGAGATAGCATTAGGAGTTGCCGTTGGAGATTTTACTTTACTCGTGTGGATAGGAGATCTATTTAGAATCCGATTTAGGGTTCAGTTGGGTGGTTCCTAATTTCTATCAAATTTATTCTTTCTCTACAATTTGGAGTTAGTTTGTAATGAGAGAAGAAGGTAAAAACAGCAAGTCGATGGCGAGTACAATACAAGTTGGTTTTCAGAACACTAAGATTAGTGTGGTGAAGTATGACGACAAAATCAACTTTGGTTTGTGGATGAGCGACGTACAGGATGCGCTCAATGCTCAGAATTTGGAAGAGACCATCATGATCCATGAGAGGCCACTTAAATATGATGAGGCGATATGGGAGAAGATGAATAGGAACGCGTGTGGGGTGATCAGGTCCTGTTTGGAACAGGAACTGAAATATGATATGATTGGGGTGACGTCTGCAATGAAGATGTGAAAAATTCTCAATAACAAGTATCTCACAAAGAGTGTTGAGAACATGTTGCACTTGCTGCGAAGACTCTTTAGATTTCAGATGTCTAGAGGCAGCTCACTAGCGGGATATGAACAACTATACTAAGTTGTTGTCGGACTTGACAAATGTTGATGAGAAGATTTCGGATGAGTACAATGCTATTATCTTATTGAGCTTCTTACCGGATGAGGAGTATGACACATTTGTTCTCACTTTGTTGAATAAGAGATCTTCTATCAGCTATAGTGAAGTAACTAACGCTTTGACGAACTACGATTTGAGGAGGAAGGACAAAGATACTTTCCGCGCTAGTACTTCAGAAGAGGCCTTATCGACGAGAGGTAGAAGCCCATATCCGAAAGGTGGTAATAGAGGAAGGTCAAAGTCTAGAGGTCATTACCAGTTAGCAAAGAACCAATGTGCATTCTGTAAGGAGCAGGGACATTGGAAGAGAGACTGCCCGAAGCTCAAGGAGAATGAGAATAGCAAGAAAAAGGGCCCGAAGACCAATGAGGTGAACGTTGCGAAAGGCGATGATTCTGATGATTCGACCTTTTCTTTATTGATTACTCCGGAGGTGAACCACTTGGATGTATCAGATTGAAAGCTTGATTCTGGTGCTACCTATCATGTGACCCCTAGGCGAGATTGGTTTGCATCTTTTGAGAAGCTCGATGGGAGAGTTGTAATCATGGGAAATGATCAATCCTGTGGTATTTGTGGGATAAGTACCGTGCAGATTAGGATGCACAATGGAGTAGTCCATGAATTGAAGGAGGTGAGATTAGTTCCTCAGCTAAAGAAGAATCTTATCTCAGTTGAAGCTTTAGAGGCAAAGGGATTCAATGTGACATTTAAAGACGCTGTAGCAAATGTTACTAAGGGATCCTTGATGGTGATGAAAGGAGTACGCAGTCAGAACTTATACTATCTAAAGGGAAGCACCGAGATTAGCCAGGTTGCTTCGGCTATTTCAGAGGCGGACATGAGCAGGCTTTGGCATTATAGGTTGGGACACACAGGAGAGAAGTCACTGCAAACTTTGTGCAAACATGGGCTATTGAAGAAAGCCAAGAATGGTAAAGTGAAATTTTATGAGCACTGTGTTCTTGGCAAGAAGACGAAGGTGAAGTTCGAAACTATCATTCATCAGACGAGGGGCATCCTGGACTACGTGCACACAGACGTTTGGGGTCTCACCAAGACTGCATCACTTGGTAGTCGATATTGGTTCGTCACGTTCGTTGATGACTATTCTAGGCGATGTTGGGTGTATACCATGACAAAGAAGAGTGAAGTCCTAGATATATTCGTGGAGTAGAAGAAGAGATTGGAACTGCAGACTGGGAGAAAGATCAAGACGTTGCGATCCGATAACGGTGGTGAATATACTTCAGACCCCTTTCTGCAGCTATGTCGAGACGAGGGCATAGAGAGGCACTTCACGGTTAGTCATACACCGCAGCAAAATAGGGTGACAGAGAGGTTGAATCGATCTTTACTGGAGAAGATCCGATGCTTATTGTCGCAAAGTGATTTGGAGAAAATCTTTTGGGCTGAGACATTTACATATGCGAGCCACCTCATTAATAGGTTGCTTTCATCTGCGATTGAGGGGAAGACCCCTATGAAGATGTGGTCGGGAGAGCCAGCACGAGATTATGACCAGCTCAAGGTATTCGGGTGCCCTGTATTTTATCATGTGAGAACTGATAAGTTGGAACATCGAGCTAGGAATGCCATATTTATAGGATTCAAGCGTGGTGTCAAGGGATACAAGCTTTGGGATCTAATTGATAAGAAGATTGTGCTGAGTAGGGACGTCACGTTTGATGAGCCTTCTATCTTGAAGCTTTCAGCTCTCATCAGGTGGAGAGCGACCCGACGGAGGAGATATCACAGGTGGTGGAGATCGATGCAGCTCCACATTATCCAGATGGTACAGTATCCATTAGAGTGCCGACTGAGGTGACGCCAGGCGAGCACGACGATGACACGAGGGATACGAGTACCGATGTGCAGGATCAGGGACCGACGGCTCAGGTTCAGGATTCAATTGCTGTTCGGAGACAGAGGAGAAACATACAGATGCCAGCACGATATGCCAACACAGTTGCGTATGCACTTCCGGTGGAGAGGATCGATGAGTTGGTGCCTACTACATTCAGAGAGGCCGAGCAGAGTTCAGAGGCTAATTCGTGACAGGTGGCTATGCAGGAGGAGATGGAATCTCTTCATAAGAACGATACATGGGAGCTTGTTGAGCTTCCAAATGGACGGAAGGCAATTGGTTGCAGGTGGGTATACACGAAGGAGGGCATTGAGGGCACTCCATTGAGGTTCAAAGCTAGGTTGGTTGCAAAGGGCTATGCACAGAAGGAATGTATTGACTATAATAAGGTTTTTTCTCCGGTGGTGAAGCATTCTTCGATTCGGATTTTGCTAGCTTTGGTGACACAGTATGATTTGGAGTTAGATCAGTTGGATGTGAAGACGATATTTCTTCATGGTGATCTTGATGAAGAAATATATATGACTCAACCATTGGGATTCCGAGCTGCAGGGAAAGATAAGTAGGTTTGCAGGTTGAAAAAATCGCTATACGGTTTGAAGCAGTCTCCTCGACAGTGGTATAGATGATTTAATGGTTTTATGATTGGTCATTCGTACACTCGGAGCCAGTTTGATCCTTACGTATATTTTCGCAAGTTAAAAGGAGGTGCGTATATCTATTTGTTACTTTATGTCGATGATATGTTGGTTGCCTCTATTTTCAGGTCGGTTATAAATGAGTTAAAAGTTCAGCTTTCAAATGAGTTTGAGATAAAGGACTTAGGCTAGGCGAAGCGCATGCTAGGGATGGAGATCGGCGGAGACAAGAAGAAGGGCAGAATTTGTTTGACACAGGTGGCTTATTTGAAGAAGGTTCTACAGCGATTCCATATTAGCATGGATACGAAGCCAGTTGGTGTACCTTTGGGAGCCCATTTGAAGCTTTCAGCTGATCTTTCACCGAAGATAATTGAAGATCGAGAGTTGATGTCGAAGACTCCATATGCGAGCGCGGTTGGGAGCATGATGTATGTGATGGTATGTACGAGATCGGATTTGTCACAGGCGGTGAGCATGGTTTCAAGATACATGCACGATTCAGGAGTGGGTCATTGGGACGCCGTGAGATGGATTTTGAGGTACATTCGAGGTACGCTCAATATTGGTTTGGTTTATGAGAGGGACACTACAGGTGGGCAGTTATGCATTGGTTATGTTGATTCGGATTATGCCGGGGATTTGGATAAGCGCCGGTCTATGACAGGGTATGTGTTTACTTTGACCCGTGTGTCGGTATGTTGGAGATGCACCTTACAGTCGACAGTAGCTTTGTTTACGATGGAGGCAGAGTATATAGCAGTTACGAAGGTTGCGAAGGAGGCTATTTGGCTTCGAGGACTTTTGGAGGAACTTGGTATATCGCTGAGGTCCGTCACTATTTATTGTGATAGCATGAGTGCTATCTATTTGGCGAAGAATCATGTTTTTCATGCGCGGACGAAGCACATTGACGTTCGTTATCACTTTGTTCGCGATGTTCTTAAAGATGGCGATGTGGAGATTGTGAAGGTCAACACGAAGGATAATCCGGCGGATATGCTCACTAAGATGGTTCCGAGCAACAAGTTTGATCATTGTCGAAACTTATTGCACATTCGTGATTATTGAAACCGTTGGCGACCATTTTGGTGAACTACGTTCGACTTGATTCCTTGGGCAAGAGGATACGTAGACAGTCTTTATAATGCAGCCGGTTTTGGATTAGTTGATTTTGATGGGGTTGAGATTATTTGAGCTCTCATTCGGGTTCTCGACTTGTTGTGGATTGAGTCCGTTATCGTGAATTGTTTCACGACGTACTAGACACAACAAGTGGGACATTTGGATGCATTTGGTGTCGGCTTAGTTTTGAGAAAACTTCACCGAGGTGGAGAATTGTGAAGCGTAGGGCCACACCCACCTGAATTGAGCAACAGGTACGCGCTCACGTGGGGGAAGCATGCGGCAAGTGTGAACGCGCAAGCGGAACACATTTTTTTTTCTTTGTGATGGCCCACCCGAATTTCATCTGTATAAATTCCAACGCGTTTTCTTTTCTTAGGTTTTGGTGCAAGCAGTGCGGGTGAAAGAAAAACTACGGCGAAAGAAAACAGAGAGCCGGTGTTTTGAGAAGGAGTTTGAGCAGCCCCTTTTAGGGTTTTGAGTATCCTTTTGAGAGAGAGATTGTGAGGGTTTTAGTTGTGAGATCTTGTGTGTGTGTAAACCCTATTTATATTCTCTCTAATAGTAGATCTCCCCCCTTCCTTGCCCCGTGGACGTAGGCAATTTGCCGAACCACGTAAAATTGGTTGTCTCGCTATTTATGTGATTTGTAATAGCTTTTAGGTTCCCTCGACAGGTCAGTCCTAGAACTGATGAGTGGAAGAGCTGATATCTCACTTGGTTGAGATATTTTGCTTAAGGTTTTTGTTTCCTTGGTGAAACATGATTTCCTATTACGACCTAACTCTCTTGTTGTGCTGCCGAAGTGCTGCCGAAGTGCTGCCGAAATTTCCGCTGCGTGCAACACATTGGAGACTATTTTGTGTTTTTCCCCCAATAAATCTATACATTCACTTTTATAAATCGCTTTACTAAAAGAAAAACAAGATGAGTCTATGGTAAAGAAACTTGTAAGGAACTAGATCTTAAGAAGAGAACCAAAAGGAGGTGCCTAATGAGCAAAATCTATTTCTTTAAAAAGAAAGGAAGGCACACCAAAAAAAAACCCTCATTGATCGAACCTGGGCACTTAATATCAGCGAGCCTTTTGGCCAATGGTGTCATGGATTTTGAAGCAGAATCTGTAATCATGGCTACTGTGTACTCTAGAAGGGCTTTATCCCAACCTCTAGCTCTCAATGGCTGCAGAATTACAAGTTAAGAATAACATTCTATATTATGAAGTAGACAGCTAATTACAAATTAGAGTAAAAATGACCTTTGTGTAACCTTGCAGAACATGGTCAGTGACCTGACTTGCATCATACCATGCATTTCGAATAGCCAGTATTCCAAACTTATCCATGATCATCCTAACCTGTAATAAGCATTAATACCCGATCACTCCTAAAAAAATTATAAAAAAAATAGAATAGCGTTCATGATAGAGGAATTATTTCCAGCATATAAGATCAGTGCAAGAATAAAAAGTGACCCACAAAAAAAAGAAATAAAAAAGGGGGAAAAAAAAGAGAAAAGGATTCAATTTGTAACGTTAACCCCTGAAAGGCAACAATAAAAACTAACAAAAAGGAAAAGAATTAGTTTCCTTCTCGTATCTTTACACTGCTAATATACAACAAATTCTAAAACGCAAAACAACGACACCGAAAGAAGTTTTGCTTCCAATATGATGTCCAACACATGGGTCAACATAGTAGTACTGAAGATTTTGCATTACAGGGTATGTTTCTGTCAATGTTGTTATTTATAAAGAAATGACAAATTGAAGATTTCATACTTTTTTGCAGTAACGATTTACTTCCATGGATTAAGCATTCATATGCTGATACGGTGGGTCAATATTCACAAGGTTACAAAATTTCTGCGTTCAAGATATTCATTGTGAAGCTTTATTGAATAACAGACATGGTTATACCCCACCTTTGAAGCACAAAACATAATAGTTCTTCTAAATTAATGCCAAACTTTAAGGAGGGGGGGACTATGTATGATTTCATCTATATAAAAGGCAATGTTCTCAATCTTACCAGCATCAAAGCAAGACCTGATCTTAACACCACGGCCAAAACTTTCGTATATATCGAGCCAACCATATCTCTCATCCCTTTCAGAATTCGAAACACAAATCCTGCAATAAATTTATACAACTTACTTATAGCCTCCAAAATCCTAATAAAAGGGTTCTCTTGGGATCCAATATTTGCATCCCCATCTTCCATTTGTTTCTCTTCCCCAACCCCATTCCTTTTCTCCCCTTTCTTCATAATAAATGGTGCAACAATCGCCGGAGCAACCAAGATCAATGCTGCAACCTTCTCTGGAGCTTCAAAGTAGGTATTAACTGCTACAAGGCAACCAGCCGAGTGCCTGAAACCCAATTCTCAACTCAATTCTTGTTTGAGTGAATTAAAAAAAAAAAGCAAATTTGCAGATAACCCCCCTCAGTGACAATACTTCTAGTAGTACTCACCAACCAAAGTATTTACTAGCACCTAGCACCCCTCGATTCCCATTTTGACAAGAAAAACTGCTCTACGAATTAACTTCACTACGCCATAATTCGTATAAACCTGTATATGATTGTTACATTGAATTTTTTTTTGTTTATATCGAAAAACAGGATAATTGTTTTGAGTTTAAGCATATTTTCCCGTCATTCCTACAAACCATAAGGGAACTTTTTCTACTCCGCATTGAAAAATAAAAATAAAATAAAATTACCCCATTAAAACGGCCTTTCCAGCCCCCAGCATTTCGATAAAAGAAATCGTAGCCATCACTGAAAACGCCATCGAATAAGGATTCAAACCCGTCTCCTCCTTCCTCTCAACCTCCCTCGAAGTCAAACCAAACGCGGGCCGATCAAACGCGAGAACCTTCGACCCAGCAACTCGAGCAAGGCCCTTCATCACCCGATCCCACGAGAACACCGAGGCCCCAAACCCATGCAACAAAACAATAGGAACCCCGATCTTCGCGGCTCCGTCGCTCCGAGCTTCTTCGGTTCCTTGATGGTGACTGATCTTGTGGTGAATCTTAACCCCGTTGAGATTAAAGAAGACGCTGTCGGAGAACACCGAGGCCCCAAACCCATGCAACAAAACAATAGGAACCCCGATCTTCGCGGCTCCGTCGCTCCGAGCTTCTTCGGTTCCTTGATGGTGACTGATCTTGTGGTGAATCTTAACCCCGTTGAGATTAAAGAAGACGCTGTCGG